GATGAAACATCTACTCCCTTGCTCAGCATTGCAAACATTATTTAACTCCTACATTAGCAGTCAGGTTGATGCAGGATATATCTGTATATCGGTCTCTCATGAGGTCAGAAAAATATCTTGAAGGTTTACGAGCAGATCTGAACTTGTCTATAACTGAGGCCACAATACTGTGGTTGTACGTGTTTAAGCAAACGATTCCACTGAGTTGTTACTTTTGTTTCCCTAACTGTGGTTAAAAAGAGAAGCAAAACTGACTTTGCCTTTTATAAGACTGACATACATTAGTGAGAAATTACCATTTCACAGAATTACCCAGGCGTATTATTCAGAAAGATTCTTATACTGTCTGGATTGAAATAAAAATGATCCTTTGAATTGTTTTGAAGAAGGTTCCTTCAGACTTTGTCAACAATGTAAATGCCCCTGTTGCTCTTTCAACATGGTCAGAATGAAAGACCAGTAAACCAGTCGTCCAGTGGCATCAACCTCCACCATTTTTAAGTGCTCCGAGACATTACCACACATGAAGGGCTATACAACTGCAAGCTGTTGTTGTAGAAACTGAATACTGTGTGAGGCTGGTGCTGTTTTTGAGACTTTACTGCGCACGGAGAAGTGGATGCCTGTATTGTCACCCAAACACCCCTATAATCAGGTCTTTTATTCTCTGCATTCTCCATGTCACTGAACACTGATTGGTCCCTTTTACAGCAACAACAACAACAAGATTGAATTTATAGAATGCCTTTCATGTCGGGAGGACGACCCGAGCAGGGAGGAAATGGTCAGGGTGAGGGGGGGGAAGGGAGGGAGTGAGGAGGGTATAGAGTCGAGAAGGGAGCTGAAGGCACGGTTGAAGAGAAACCATCAAAGGCTTTTTCAAATTGATCCAAAATAAGTTCACAAGAAGTTCAAGTCTTTGATCAATATCCACCCTACCTTTTTCCCATTAAGGCATCAAGATCACAAGATTGGTTCGTATAAAGAGGTTGTTTTGTACTGGTGTCTTGTTGCTTCTGTTCTGAGTTTATTTTCTCAATCCCTTTTAAAATCTTGTATATCTCTATAAGGACTACACTGAGACATCTTCTCTCAAGACTGAAGAGCTCTAGCTTGTCTAACCATTGCTCATAGACCATCCTTGTTGCTCTTTCTACACTGCCTCTAGGGTTTAGGCAGCTCCATTATGTTACAGTGACCAGAAATGTAAGCAGTGCTATACGTTTGGTCTGACCAGACCACTACACAGCTTGAGTGTGACATCTGGGCATCTGAACTCAACTGATTTAGCAATGTAGTCCAGGTGTCTTGTTAGCCTTGTTTATTGCTGTCTCACGTTGTTTTGATATTGTGAGCAATGAGTCAGCTTCCCCTTTAGAAAGTACTATCCCATCCACAGAGTACATGTATTTTCTATTCTTATTTCCTGTATGCAGTACTTTGCATTTATCTGTATTGAACTTAATTTGACAGTCATCAGCCCATGTACAGTAGCTAACAAGCTTTCTTTGTAAGATCTTGTTGCCTCCGCCAACTTTGTGTCATCTGCAAATGTAATTATCTTACTGCTGGGTCTGCAAATCCAGGTCATTAATGCATACATGCGACAGGAGTGGTCCCAGTACAGATGCTGAGGCACCCCATTGCATTGAAAGTGCTAATTATTGAAAGAACCAGTGGTGAGTGTGAGCCGTGAGACAATGTTCTGTTTTCCACATCTAGGATGTTGTTTGTTAATACGTTGAGTGTTGTTTGTGGTCACGTTTCACAGGCAACAGCTGCTGGAGGCAGTTTTAAATATAGCCGCACCAAATGATTGAGGCTGGTGGTATTTCAACACTCTGCCATGCATGTGATTGTTGGTATTTGATTTCAATTTGACATTGGTGCCATCATGGTCATCTTAAGTCAGTTGAATTCAAGATGCTCATTTCTATAGTGATCATACTTCATAGCCTTCAACTCCCAGCAGGTAAACAGCCAAAACAGCCCGGCTCTGCTGCTTGCATTTTCAAAATTAAGGCACCCAGACAGCGGCGATTCCATTTCAGTACTTTATTACAACAGTGTAAATTGGCAGACGCATGACCCTGCACAGCAGACTCTTCATCGATTGGGTAAGATAGAGATACTAAACAGTTACTTTATCAGCACAAGAGACTGAAATTTCCCCAGCGCTTATACCCAGAGTTACTGGTAACACGTCTTTTATCAAACCTACATTTCAAATGCAGCCACACATCAACACAGTCAGAAAGACCCTTTTTGCTGGTGATAAACATTTCAATAGATCTGAGATATCAGGAAACACTTATCAAAAATATTTACTAAATCCCATTTCTGCATTACACTTTAATTTATGGGCGATGAAGTTTATCTTCCAAACCTCTTGCGTTTCCACTTGACTAAAGCATGGTCCAAAATATTTTTTTAATTAAATTGAATGACAGAAGATCCTTGATTAAATCACTATGTGCAAATAAACAGTACCATTTACCAATATTTCCTCCATTTTATCCTCAATAGCTGCTCATATCTACACATCTCCCTCGCAGTTGTGAGAGTGGCTGAGTCCTCTGCAGACATGGCTAAAGCTTCCATTAATTGATTAAATTGGTTCAAGCAGTAGATGGCCGGTCTTGGCAGAGACATTTGTGTTTAGCTATATTTAAAACTGGAGCATTCCATCTAGTGGGCCAACCTGGAAATAAAATGAATTTGTACGTAAAGGATCCCAATATTGGTTTGGATGTAAAAGGCTCTTCGGTCCAAATGATCGCATTCCTCCAGAATACCCACCCTACCATCCTGCCATCACAGCATCAAGCTGCTTTTTAAAGAAATCCAGTGTTCTGGCCTCAACTACCCTTTCTAGTGAACTGTTCCAGTAATTAATTACCCTTTGAATAAGGAAAAACTTCCTGGTGTCCGTCCTGAAATTGCCTTTCCCTCTACAACTCTTAACCCATGTCCTCTTGTTCTACTATCTTGATCCAGAGATTATGCACAACATATGATTTTACATTGGACAAAATTATAAGGAAAAGATCACTATTTTTATTGCTAGTCCCTGGAATTCCATTCAGCAGGTGTTTTAGTTGTGAGGCCACTTTGAGGAGGTAATGTTACACAACATGGCTTCATGCAATCTGTACTGCTGCACAACCTTAACTGCAGGATCAGAGAGAAGTATAGATGAAGAATACCCTACTTACTTGATCTCATTTTGCCTGGGTACCCACTCTACAATATCCCCGTTAGAACATCCAGCTATTCCTTAGAGGAGTTCAGGGCCCTGATCTCAACCACTCTTCCTGGTAGGGTGTTACTCTGTGTAAAGAAATACTTCTAGGTGTCCTTGCCAACATGGTAGCACTATTAAAACTTGAATTTCAAAAATATAAAACTCAGCTGATAGCGTTAATGGTAATAACATTACAGTAGACTCTTTAACAATAATAAAAATATCACTGAGAATCAAACATGGACCCCAAGACCTCTGTGGCTGTGTTTAAGAATTAAGAAACAGAACAGAATATTGGTAACATCAATTACATGTAATTTCTTGTCTAAAATATCTCTCTTTCCTTTCATGTGACACAGGACCTGGTAAACATCTCAATGGTCACAGCAATATTTAGGGATTAGCATTAACATCATCCATTGTAATTGTAATTATTACATCTTTGAAAAATTATGCTTAGTCACCTCCAGGCCAACAGTGCCCAAGATAAAATAGGTCACTCACTTCTTGATTGTTTGCAGGACATGGCTGTGTATAAATAGACTGCCAGGTTTGCCTACAAATATACAGCCATTCCATTTCACAGTAAACTGCAAAGCCTTTTGAGATGTATCAACAATATGATAAGGTACTATATCAGATAGAAGGATTCTTATTCTTTCAGAGATCAGGAAGTGGTGAAGCATTTCACGATAGACAAAATATACAGGATCTGCTGAAAGAAGTGGACGATGGAACCAATGGCCTTTGTCTTCTCATTCCAGGTTTACCCACACTCAGGCAACGCACTCAGTATTTGGACAATTTGATCTCTGGCTTATGGTATGATGTGTATTTCTCAAGTATGTTAATGGCTCATTCTCAACCATTCAGAAACCTGAAGCACTTAAGCAAACAAAATACAATAACAATAATTTGCATTTATATAGCGGCTTTCACGCTGGGCAGCATCCTGGAGCACTTAAAATAGTAAGTTGGCTCTTCAGAATTAAGTCACACACTCTTTAGTTGAATCACAGTTGAAGTGTTTTTCTGCCCATGGGAACAAGCTGCGGGCATGATGCTCTTTGTACAAATTTAGTTCATTGTACATCCAAGTAAATCTGAGTCATTCAGGGCAGCCCCTGACAAGTAGCATAGCACACGACAAAAAGCAACAACTAAAACTGCAAACTCACAGCTTGTTCTAACTCATTCGAGCTTCACTTCAAAATCACATAGAAAGCATGACTTAGCACACCAGTGTACATTTACAAGTTATCAGAATAACAGCGGGATCTAATTTGCAGTTTGCTTTCACAGGATTCCTTAACAATTGGAGTCATACAAATGGGATGTTATTATGGTAAATGGAAGTACGTCACACTGACCCATGGGAATTCTGCTCTGGTGCAATTTACTTCTGGGATGGAGTTCTCACTGGGCAACAAGAACTAATTCTATAAAGAAATACTGCAAGTTAGACCCGGGTATTTATAACCTTGATATGGGGCATTGCACCACTTCAATTTTTGAAACACTAATCTTACCATTTGTGGGGCTGATTTTAAACAAGTTTGCAACTTTATCCACCATGAGTGGATAAAGTCCATTCAGGCTCATTCACAGAAACAGAAGGCATGTAATATTTCTGAACAGAATTCTTTATACTGTAAGAAATATACTTGGTGCAATTGGCTGCAGCGTTTTGTCCACAAAAATACAGCCAATTAACCTTACAGTATATTCTGTGAAGCACTTTGAGATGTCTTGAAGGCGTGTTAACGAACTATATCAAATTAAATTATTATTATTGAATAAGATGAAGAATTATTGAATTTCAGATGATTGAATGCATTCTTCAGCATGTTTGATAGCTTGGAGATTCAATTGAAACTTTTTAAATTAAGAAATCTGTTAAGAAAACCTGTTTGAAATGAAAGTTAATTGATAAAGTTTTTAAAATAACAAATGCTAACATTAGCATACACACGTGAGCCTGAACAGGGTGTGGATGTGACGTTTATAGCTCTGTTGCCCCACATCTAATAAATTACTGCATTATCCAATGCTTAATTTCTTTCCCTTGTTATTGTGCCTGATGACTTGTGGCCTCTGCATACTTTCATAATAATAAGTTAGTTTTGCCAACTCCATTATATTTACCAGTGTTGCAGCCTATACTGCGGGACTCCTGAAATGAAGGGAAATAAGATGTTACTGAGCAGTGGTATTACTGTGGGATAGTAATATCCAATAGCCACGATCTGAGGACATCCAGATTCCGCTCCAGCCACCTAATGTTTTTCTGAATGGTTTCCAGGGCAAGCTGGGTACACCTCAGCTGGGAGCTCTGCTCCTTGATAGATTCAAAGAACATTTTCACCTGAAACAGATGTATGCAGGTAAGGGTTTGGTTTACAGGATATACTTTACAAATATAGCCTGGATATAATTAAACAATGTGCTTTGTAATGTGCTTTGCAGTCATAGGCTCTGGGTGTCTACCTTTTTGGTCATAGGTCTAACTCAGGCTAGAAAAGAGGAAATACAAGTTAAGTGGATGACTTTGTGTTTGCCCCTAATGCTTGTTGGTTTGATGAACCCTTTGTTGCTTTCACTGTGGGCTGGGATGTACTATGGAAATGAAAGAGGTGCCAGCTTGTATCTACAACCCTGTGTTATGAATTACTAAGTTAATAAGTCCAGGATTACTGTGTGGAGTTCATACACCTAAACACAGTAATAGATTTTCCTGTGTGTCAGACACTTGTCTGGCCAAAAATGAACAGAGTAAATGCTTACAAGAAAGTTCTTAAAGGTTAAATGTTTCATTTTACTCAGATAGTCTTCCCTCCTTAGAAGGCGCTGTAATGACAGGTTCAAAAAGAGGCTTTTCGGCCCATTGTGTCTGTGCTAGATCTCTGAACAAGCTATCCAGTAGGTCCCACTGCCCGGCCCTCTCCCCATACTCTTTTATATTTTTATATTTCAAATGTTTAGGGTGACGCTGAAAATTCCATGACACTATTTGAATAGATTAGGGAATTTACTTTGGTGTCCTGGCCAACAATGATAAAAAATTGGTCATTCACACATGGCTATTTATAGGGCATTGCTATTTAAATGCAAATTGTTGTACTAATAGTGGGACTGAATGAGCAACAACAACCAGAGAAGGAATCAGCAGCATTGCTATGGTGCTTAATGGAATGCAACACTTAACATCTGAGGAACAGCTGAATAAGAAGTGCTGGCAAAGCTCTTCACTTCAGTAATTATCCTGTTATAGAGATCAGTTCTGATTCTGCCACTACAATTATATCTGTGATCACCACTCTAGGTAAACATAATACAATTGACTGACAGCTGAGAGGTAAGTGAGATGATTGTCGCAATCATTTTCAATCAACAGTCAAATATTCAGGCAGTTATGATGTGATTGTTGCACTCATAATAACTGAAGGCTCTATGGTTTAAATGTGTTGTACCTACAAGTAGTGGATGTCAGTGCTGGCAAATAGAACATTGTTTTTAGATTGATTTGGATGAAGAAGGTCTATCAGCTCATTCAAACTCATCCCTCCAGTGACTTCATTGACCTGAGGCAAAACCGCTCTGAAGATGAGAGACAAGTGTGCTAACCCACAGTCATACTCAATCTCCTCACCCCAGTGTCAAAAGTCTGTGGTATATATAATACAATCACTTTAAGATATTAACCTCAATTTTGCAGTATTTTTTGATTTAGAGGTACGAGTGAGCAACTGTTTCTGGTGGCAGGTCCGTCTCAGTGACCTGAGGGAAACCCCACTCTGAAAATAATCGGAGTCAACAACTACCGGATTTCTTCATTAAAAATTCCCATCAAGAGATACCAGAAAATTATTATGGAGAGTGTTGTTTGTCTTTCATCATGTTTAAACAATAACTAAAGCCACTAACCTCCTCCAATTCTTCCTTAGATGAAAAGTGAGATGTCGTTCCAACGATAAGCCATCTGATAGTGAAGGAGCCAAGCTCAAATCTGTGGTGAGTAAGGACACTGTTAAACACCCTTCATACTGGAGATCACACTAGAGATCTATTATGGGAAACAATGAAGGATTCTGTCCAACGCACAAGATCATGAAAAGCCACTCAGCTCAACAGATCATATCACAAGAGTATTTCAGTCTAGTTTCACTATGTGGAGATGAACACAGGTAGGTCAACCAATGCTCCTTCACTGAGCTGTAACTGCTCCCATTGCAATTGTTCTCCACCTGACATTGAAACATTCAGTGTTGGTGTGTATAGAACCATAGAATTATAGCACAGAAGGAGGCCATTCGACCTATTTGTGTGTGTGTCTGTAGGGGCTGTCTATGTGTGTGTGTAGGGGCTGTCTGTGTGGGTGGTAGGGGCTGTCTATGTGTGTGTGTGTGTAGGGTCTATCAATGTGTGTGTCTGTGTGTGTGTGTAGTGGATGCCAATTCATGTGTGTATGGGCTGTTTATGTTTGTTTGTGTGTGTCTATATGTGCTTGTCTAGGTGTGTGTGTCTATGTGTGTGTGTATGTCTATGTATGTGTGGAGGGGCTGTCTATGTGTGTGTGTGTCTATGTGTGTGTTCTTTTCACACTTACATAAGTGTGATGAAAAAGAACTGAACACAGTACTCTAGCTGAGGTCTAACCAGTGTTTTATAAATTAAAATGTATTTCCACATTGTATTGCAATACATGTCATAAATGTCACTGCCTGTGCTGCTCGAATACTACTGAAGGACACAAGGTCTGAATGATTAAAAAGGTACTGACTTCTCAATCAGTTTGTTCCAATTCCTCTTCACAAAATTCCAGGCAAGGAGATGTCCGACTGGGTTTCTGCTCACTGCAGCAACAACATGGTCTAGATCCTGCAACTTGATGACATTCCCTTCCATACCAATCTCCAACAATCTGGGGATATCAGAACAGAGAAGAACTGAGCATTAAGCACAAAATAAGCCTACGCCAGCCACAGGATGTGCTTCACACACAAGTTTGAACAGAAGGCCACGCAAGTCACACATTCCTTTGCTGGTACAGCTTCCCTGTTGTTCTGCTATTATATTTTTTTCTGAAGGAGAATACATTACTTTGTCCTATGTACAGAGTAATTAGCTTGTTCAGAAACCTAGTTATAAAATTCTACTTGATCGAAGGAAATCTGTAGCTTTTTGAAAGAACTGTTTTACAAACTTGGAACACATTCCGAAACAATGGAGAAATCTATGAAAATAAAAACAAGCTGTTAATTGCCTTTTAATCACATTCCAACACAATGAAATGAAACCTAACTGACATGAATAGCATCTAGTACCTTTTGGCTCCTCAATTTTTACAACAACAAAATTACATTTATAGAGCGCCTTTCACGTCGAGAGGACGTCCCAGGGCGCTCGACAGTCAGGGGTCAGGACCCGAGCATGGGGGAGGGGTGGTATAGGGGTGAGGGAAGGCAGAAAGGTGGGAGGGTGACCAAAGGCATGATCAAAGAGGAGGGACTGGCCTTGAAGGAGGCAAGGGAGGAAGTGAGGCGAAGGCACTGTGGGATGGAGTTCCAGAGTGTGGGGGGCAGAGAGGCTGAAAGCCCGGCCACCGATGATAGGGCGGGTCGGGCGGAAGACATGGAGCAGGCCGGAGCCCGCTGAACAGAAGGTGCGGGCAGGTTCGTAGGGAGTCAGCAGGTCAGAGAGATAGGTTTAATGTAAAATAAACTCCTTACCCTGACAGTTTCTCTGGATCCCTGGTGGCCGCCAAAGCATTAAGAATCTTAATCTTTTCAGCACCTGACAAGGACTGGATGTACTTCTTCAGGAGGTATTCCCATCCATCAGCACTCTGGGCTCCCACAGAATGCACAATCTCGAGAACATCTGTCGGCAAACTGTGATACCAAACAACAGCAAGTTGAATAAATCGGGGTGTTAGTTTTCCACGTTAATAGTTTTCACTGCATACGGTGCTGTATGTATTTATATACTTATGGATGGATGTATATACGCTTGGGTGGATGTATATAGGTACTTATGTAAGTACATATTTGAAGGTGAGTGAATAAGTGAACAGGCACGTTTGTGTTCATTAGTAAGATGTTCAGACTGGTAAATAAGCCATTACTTGGTGACATATTAATCAATAAAAGTACAACAGGCATGCATAAGTGGTTTTATTACCAAAACGTGCACTGCATGTAAGCTTTTGTACAAAGCAGAATTTCTTCTATAACAACTTGAACTTTGTACAGCCTTACACTCAGGATGAATACTTTTTTTTGGCAGCCGGAAACTTGCTTTTTGGTTTTGTGGAAATGCATCACCATGCTTAAGAGTATCCAAACCAAACTGAGAATTGCATGCATCCCAACTACACATGGAAATTCCAGGAATAGATTGTTGGAATGGAATGTGCACTCTCACCCTGGATGGACGCATCCTGCTTACCTAATTACATATAGTATTAGGTACAGGTTGACATGAGCCAACGGCTTGGGGACCCCAGAGTGTGCATTATAATATAATAATAATTCTTGCATTTGATATAGCACTTTTCACGTCTTCTAGACGTCCCAAAGTGCTTCACAGAATATACTGTAAAGTGAATTGACTGTATATTTGTGGGCGAACGCGGCAGCCAATTGCGCACAGCAGTGTCCCACAAACAGTCATGGATTGAAAATGACCAATTTATTATTGTTTTGTTTTTTGGAGGGATTATTATTGGGCGTGTGGAGTAAGGAAACTTGCTGAATGATACAATGATGCAGCTAGAAGCTGATAGTATAGTACAATACTATAATGTTGGATAAGAATCATCTCAAAACCTTGCAGTATGTATGTCAGAGCTGTGTCTGATATACTTCTGGGGGTTTAAGAAATTGGCCACCAGGTGTCTCAGTGGTTCAGTATAGAGACTACTGCACACTGACACCCAGTGGTAGGAAATGGAATCACACCCACAACTGACACTGCAGTCTCCCATCTCAATCAAATGGAAGTCAGGACTTCCTCACAGGAAGGAATAGTAATGTAGTAACAGTGAGAAGCTGCTGCTGCTGCCCACTCCTCACATTTGTGGAGTCCTGTAGCTCAGTGGTTAGAGCATTCGCTTTGCAAGTGAGAGACCTGAGTTCAATTCCAGGCAGAGGGCGAAACCTTGGGCAAGTTTCCTTACTCCACACACCTAATAATAATCCCTCCAAAACCAAAAACAATAATAAATTGGTCATTTTCAATCTACAACTGTTTGTGGGACATTGCTGTGCGCAATTGGCTGCCGCGTTCGCCCACAAATATACAGTCAATTCACTTTACAGTATATTCTGTGAAGCACTTTGGGACGTCCTCCCGACGTGAAAAGCGCTATATCAAATGCAAGGATTATTATTATTATTATCATTATTATCTGGTTCAGAGCAGCACTAGTGATGGGCTATTCCCAGGCTTCCCTTCCCAACTCTCAGCTTTTGACAAGTGTTGACAGGAGGATGGTCAAAGGAGATGTGAGAAAATAACTTACAAAGAAAACTAAATTGGCCTCCATCCACTTGCAGTATTATGGTATCAGCACTAAATGTATAATTGACATAATTTTATACACCCACTAAAAAGACAAAATTAATCCAGAAAATTTGATAAAAAGTACCTATGAATGATTTTAAGATCACTATCAGGTTGATATATCAGCAATATGTTTTCAAACCTTGTTCTCATTGTATGTGACAATCTGAATCCATCAATAATAATAAACACTCAGGTATCCATTATTCTGGATCTAAATAACAGGAACCCCTCAATAAAACTGGCTGCTAATAATTTCTAGGTATTATAGAATCTTACAACACAGAAGGAGGCCATTCGGCGCATTGCGCCTGTGCTGGTTCTTTGAAAGAGGCATCAACCAGTCCCACTCCCCCGCTCTTACCCCATAGCCCTGCACATTTTTCCTTTTTGAGTAACTATCCAATTTCTTTTTGAAAGTTAATATTGAATCTGCTTCCACTGCCTTTCAGGCAGTGTATTCCAGACCATAGCAACTCTCTGGGTAAAAAAATTCTCCTGGTCTCCCCTCTGGTTCTTTTGCCAATTATCTTAAATCTGTGACTTCTGCCAGAGGAATCAATTTCCCTCAATCTCCTCTATCATAACTCCTGATAATTTTGAATACCTTATTAAACGTTTCGCCCACAAATATACAGTCAATTCACTTTACAGCATTTTCTGTGAAGCGCTTTGAGACGTCTGGAAGATGTGAAAAGCATTATATCAAATGCAAGAATTATTATTATTATTATTATAAATCTCCCCTCGACCTTCACTGCTCTAAGGAGAATAATCCCAGCCTCTCTAGTCTCTCCACATAACTGAAGTCTCTCATTCCTGGTACCATTCTGGTAAATCTCTTTTGTACCCTATCCAAGGCCCTGACTTGCTTTGTAAAGTGTGGTGCCAGAATTGGACACAATACTCAATCTGAGTCTTAACAATTTCTCTATATAAGACATCTCAGCCCCTCATGAGATTATTGGCTTGTGATCACTCTCAAACAGCCTTTGTTGTCTATATAATATATCATCGATTACAAACTGAAGCCCAACCTGGTGATAGGGTGATACTGGCAGCTGTCTGCATTTCACCACAAAGGAGAAGCTGAACTAACCTGATGGTGCCATTGGAATTCTTCCACTTATTGAATAAATCTAAAGCCTTTTGGAGGCAGGGAGGGTACTGCAGGTCACAGGCCATCTCCAGGAGGTTGGTGCGCAGCAGACGCTCTGACAGGGAGCCATCGTCACTCCAGGACTGCTTGTCAATCAGGTGTTTGAAAAACTCCAGGATATATCTCTGCAATATGATGGACATCACACAAAGAGTCAGCCTGGGATTGTCTTACTTTCAATCAAATGGTCAGGGTACACAGTACAACTTGAATACAACCTTATCTGAAGGAAAAACACAAAGATTCCTTCTGTTAAAGATTCACACCTGAAAACAGCCCATTGTAGCCCCTTTGACAGACATAATTGATTAATTTTGTGAATTGTGAATCGCCTCTGAGTCAGAAATTGTGGGTTCAAGCCCCACAATGGGGCTTAGAATTCATATAATCTATGCTGACCTTCCAATGCAGTGTTGGGAAGGTACTGCATTGTTCAAGATGTTTGCCTGTTCAGGTGGATGTTAAAGATTTCTTTAATATCAAAATGAAAAGGAAGTTTCTCCATCAATAATCCCTCAAATAAAATTGGTCATTCACTTCATGCTTGTTTGCCAGACATTGCTGTGCACAAAATTGGCTGCTGCATTTGTCCAAAAAATACACAGTCGCTACTCTCTACGGTATATACTGTAAAGCACTTTGCGATGTCCTCGCAATGTGAAAGGCAAATGTAAGGATATTATTATCCTTAAATTAGTAAGTTATCATTTTATTATTACTTTTCTTGTGTTTGGCTTGGAATTCATTTGAACGGTTTGCTTTCAGCATGCTGGGCTGTATTTGGACAATTTGTCACTATGGTGAATTGTCCATTGAATGTAAACGACTCAGTCTGCTTAACAAGGATCTTTTTGCTTTTATTTATACCACAACTATTGTGCCTTACCAAAAAATATTTAAGGAGCTATTCTTTATCATGATTTTAAATAGCCAATCCTGCATCTCCCTATTCAAAAATACTTTACTTCTAAAATCGATTACCAGAACTCTCCTCAGCCCCAACAGGTGTGACTGGCAGCAGGAAATCCAATTCCTGCCAGCAGCAATATCACAGCAATGTCCAGCACTACACAACCAGGTAGAAGATTACAACCTCAGTCAACAAATGCAAGGTCGAGGTAAAGTGGAGATTGTTACCTTCAGATTTGTTGCAACATCAGGGATATTCCTTTTCTCAACCAATTTGTAAAATACCTCCAGATAAGCCAGACCCTGTAACACTGGCATAGTTTTGTTCTCATGTCTCAGGTAACGGGTCAGGTCAAGAGCTCGATCAAGTGATAACTTTCCTGCACTAAAGAAAGCAAAAATAACACACAAATCAAGCTTTTCCACCTTCCCCCAATTCACTTTTATTTTATTTCCCCCCTATCTTTGTACCATCTTATCCAATGAACCAGTCGCTGTTTGAAAAAAGGGATAGGTGAGCGATACCCACCCAAAATGATACCAATACTAGTGAGCATCTCCACTGCTATGTGCAGATCTCCTAAGATAACCTAGCAACTGTGAGCAGATGTGAAAACATGTCTCTTTGACCAATTATCTTTCCCCTCTCCCCACACCCTTTGGCTCCCACCTGCATCTTGGGTGCCCATCCAGCACTGTTAAGGGTTTTGAGACATCCTCCTAACAAAAATGTAGACTATATAGTAATTGTAATGTACCATCCTGAGTTACAGAGGTATTTAAGGTGCTATTGGCTAGGATAAACATTTGAAAAGGAATAATATCAAACCTATAAGAAAACAGCAAAGAATTGGAATAAAGAATTAATAGCTCTCAGTAGAATTGGATTAAAGAAACTCAATGATCTCCCAGGTAGTCACTTCTATGAATCTAACACTTTGATTGGGAATGTATATTCACAGAATAAGGTGATATTGACTATCAGGTCAATAATGCTATTTATCTTGGCAATTCACAATACCTGACGAGTTGGAAAGCATTATGAATGAGGTGTGTTCGGTCCTTCATGCTCAGGAGGGTGTGATCCTGATCCAGTAGATTAACCAGTGCATCCCATCCACTGTGCTCATAGTGTACAATGTAATAGCCATTCATGTCCACGTTAAACTTCACCCAGTCAGCTTCTTTGTCCAGTTTAATAGTATCTGATTAACACAAGATCAGTGGGTTTAGTGACGTTCACCAACAAATGAAAACCTAAGAGTTTGGCTTCATCGGTTAGATTGGATTCTGCATTACACTCACACTGCACCTGAATTCTGTTGTAAACATTAACAACAACAATTTGCATTTATGTAGCACCCTTCATATCAGATAATGTCTCAGAATGCTGTACAGTAGCCAGATGGACACCAAGCAAGGGAGAAAGAGGAGGGGTGAGGTGCTCAAGGACGCAGTTAAGAGGTAGGTTTTCAAGTGAGATTATAAAATAGGTAAAGAAGGTGGTGGAGCAGAGAGATTGAGACAGGGAGTTCCAGAGATTAGGAACGTTGTGGCTGAAGGCATGTACAGCCACTCATGGTGGCATGGAGAGATCAGGAGACTTGCAGACATTGTGCTATGAAGGATATCAAATTGCTACAAAGGCATTTGAAATAAATAGAGGGAAGAAGACTGTGTTTTAAATAATTTCACATTGACACACATTTCATTAAATCTTGTACACTATGTTTAGGTTTGTACTATTTTAGCCATGAAAGTGTATTTCATTTTTATGTCACAAGAGATGCCAAATATTTAAAACTACCTTAATCCATTTTAATAATTATGGGTACAATTATCTACAGGGAAAAATATGCTATATGATGTGCTAATTATCACAAGGCCAGAAATGTAATAATTTTGTGCTCTTAGCGACTGGTTCAGACCTGAACATCCCCTTATTTCTGAAAGAAAAATGGATTCTCCGACCAAGTTTCTGGTTAGAATTCAAAGTGCTGCCATTGTCTTAGATAGCAAGCATTGCTGAAACCTCTATTCTTGGCTGAATGTGGCCTTTTAACTTTTAATTACAACATAGTATATGGAGACTGACCCAGGGTTTGTCACCTCCCACGGGCTGTCAAGAAGCAAGCCCATGAACATTTACATGAGTCTAGGTAAGTCTGTGTTTGATGGATAGTGTTTTCAGCATTTTTCTTGAATATTTCTTGATTTCATCGAATCATAGAATTATACATCACAGAAGGAGGCCATTCGGCCCATCGTGCCTGTGCCCGCTCTTTGAAAGAGTTGTCCAAATTAATCCCACTTCCCCGCGCTCTCCCCATAGCCTTGCAAATTTGTCCTCCCTAAATATCTATCCACTTCTCTCTTGAAAGTTGTCATTGAATCTGCTTCCACCACGCGTTCAGGCAATGCATTCCAGATCGAAACAACTCGCTATGTGAAAAAATTTGTCCTCATCTTCTCCCTGGTTCTTTTGACAACTATCTTAAATCTGTGTCCTCTGGTTACCAACCCACCCGCCAGTGAAACCAGTTTCTCCCTGTTCACTCTGTCAAATCCCTTCATAATTTTGAACATCTCTATTAAATCTTCCCTTAAACTTCTCTGCTCCAAGGAGAACAATCCTTGCTTCTCTTGTCTTTCCACATAACTGAAGTCCCTCATTCCCTGATTTGGTTTTCAGCAGATATCTGCCTAATATTGATTTATTAATATTTATATTATGTTGTCCCAGCTGAATGAGCAAACAGATGACGGTGGACTAGAATGGTGAATCTTGGATGGGGACAAACAGACAGACGTCTTTGGTCTTTTTCCCTCTCTCATGGAAAAGCACTCCAAGGTTCTTTTGTCACATCAAGGCTCGATTACAGAAATTCCCTCCTCATCGGCCTTCCCAACTCTTCCCTTCACAAGCTGCAGATCATCCAAAACCATACAGCTCATGTACTCTAACGCACCAGGCTCCGTGACCCCATCACTCCCACCCTCGCCCGACTCCACTGGTTCCCCATCCCCCAGAGGATCGAGTTCAAGATCCTTGTCCTCACCTTTAAGGCCATCCATGGCCTTGCCCCCTCCTACCTCTCTGACCTGCTGACTCCCTACCAACCTGCCCACTCCCTCCATTCAGCGGGCTCTGGCCTGCTCCATGTCTCCCACCCGACCATGCCCTTGCCCCCTCCTACCTCTCTGTCCCCACACTCTGTAACTTTATTCCATGGTCCCTTCACCTCGCTTCCTCCCTTGCATCCTTCAAGGCCGGTCTCAAGACCCTTCTCTTCGATCGTGCCTTTGGTCGCCCTCCCACCTCTCTGCCTTCCCTCACCCCTACACCACCCCTCCCCCACGCTCGGGCCCCGACACCTGACTGTTCAGCTTGGGACGTCCTCCCGAAGTGAAAGGCGCTTTATAAATGTAATTTTGTTGTTGTTCTCTGATAACACAGCCAAACCAAGATACCGTGCTGGCAATGGCAGGACTTGACACATTGAATCACTTCTTTTGTTCTTCTTATCACTTCTTAATCACAGTCTTAACAATCATCTCTGCATCACACCTGGTGCTGCCATGTGTATACTCATCAATGTAATGTGTATGAGATCTCTCACCTGATTTGGTTTTCAGCAGATATCTGCCAATTCTGTCCGAGTTACTCGTGATGTAAGTTAGCGGGATGTGCCACAGATAGCTGCAAAAGATTCAGTTAAAAATATGAATGTGGCAAAAGATTGTAGTAACAATATTTTTGATACTCCAGGTGCAGCAGATGGTGTTATAATTATATATAAGCAAAACTCCACCAAAACCAACAAAGGAAAATAATCACAAGTGAGGAATAACTACCCAGACTGCAGTGATTCCCACACAGGGTCCTCTGGAAGGACACTCTTCAGGAAACGCTCCTGTCGTAGCCGGATTAAACTCCCGCTGTGTTCAACAATGATCACTGGCAGCCCTTTCTGAAGTGTCCAAGTATTCATAACCTCCTTGATGTCCAGATGTTCCTCTGTATAAAGATACTGAGGAAAAGAAAGGCACAGTTTGCAGTTTTAATACTAAGCGCTTTCATACAAATGTATTTTATTCTTTTGAAATCTGTGTTTAAAGGAAGTAAGTCATTCTGTGAATGATCCACCCAGAGTGGAGATCACAAGGGAGCTTCAGATGTAAAAGCTTTTTGGCCCTTTTGATCTCATTCCACAAAACTGCAGTCCTTCCATTCCAACTTCTTCTGTTTCTTAATTGATGACAATAAGTGTTCACTTCCCCATTTGATGGATTATGAGCTCTCCTCTGCTCAGCCACCCAGTGCTGTGTGTTCGATGAGGTTCAGCTGTTGACAGGCAACTTCCTTGTCTTGCTACAAGCATGCCTTTGTTTGTTAATAATAATAATCCTTGCATTTGATATAGTGCTTTTCAAGTCTTCTCGACGTCTCGAAGGACTTCACAGAATAGACTGTAAAGTGAATCGAGTGTATATTTGTGGGCGAAACGCGGCAGCCAATTGCGCACAGCAGTGTCCCATAAACAGTCGTGGATTGAAGTGACCAATTTATTATTGGTTTTTTTCTTGAGTGATTATTATCAGGCATGTGGAGTAAGGAAACTTGCCCAACGTGTCACCCTACTGGGAATCGAATCCAGGTCTCGCGCTTGTGAGGCCAGTGCTTTAACCACTGAGCTACAGGACTCCATGTTAATTACATGATTGCCATGCAGAAGGCTACAATAGGGCTTGACCTAACTTTCTGGATGTTGAAAGTCCAATGGAGTCAGCTATCTTTGATATTCTGGGTAATGACATCTCTCAGAATTTAAGAGGGAGGGAGATGAATATTTGATAGTCAGGTGTATAAAGGGATAACATGAACAAGCAGTAAAATGTTGCAGATCAACCATGGTCTACTACTATTCCTACGTTCTTAGAATCGGTAAAGTAGTGGCTAATGCAACCTTTTGAATCCATAGTATGTGTTAATGAATAAAAGAATGAACCAAAACTTACAGCGTTTTTAGCCGCTTGTGAAGTGCTGTAGCAGAATCCACCTGAAGTGAAGTTTCCTTCTGTGCACGTCTGTTGGGAAGTAACAATTTAATGGTTTAACACATGCTGAAACCATAGATAATCTCAGTACGTCTTTCTGTTTCCAAACCAAAAGAACTGAGTGACGACAGCAAAGTTCCACCTTAATATGAGGCTCTGGGACAACGGAAATGTCAGGTCAAGATGTCTTGACAATTGGTCAAGAACAAGTAATGTAGGATGTATGGGTTGATAAATATTCAATAGCATTCCTCAAGTTTCGCTTTGGGGATTCAGAGAGAAACTCTGCTGAGTACATTATAGGATTTGGATAAAGTCTGTGGTAGAATGCATTCTGTTTGGCCTTTGAGAGAAGTAGCTTTGGTTGTCTGAATAGATTTTATTTGTCCATCGCTGTCAATGTCACTTCTTGCTTGGCTTTCGCCAACTCTTGGCTCTTGGCAATTTGTATCAAATGTTCCCAGGTGCAGTCCTCCAGGGAGAGAGTGCATATTCCATTCCACACACAGGGAAAAGGATAAGTGTGTAAATGACATAGATACAGTATGTGGAACTCGAAATCTGGTTTGGATACTCCTTAACATGTTGATGGACTTTCCCATGTGTCAGACACCTGGCTGACCAAAACAAATGGCATCAACATACAATAATGTGAACTGATTGAATATTTTACATTTACTTCTTCACTCTATGGTGCTTTTCAAATGCAAAATCATATTTTTTTACAGAAATGTAAAGCCTTACATTGGCCATGCTGTTCCACAGGTCCTCGTTCTTGGCATTCCCATAGCTGTATTTCCGTAGGTAAGAAACTAAGCCACTCTGGAAAACCTCCTCTGTTAGAAAATTCCTCAACATGTGCAGAATGCAAGCACCCTACATTCAACAGTAGCAAAAGGTCAGTTACACCATGCATAATCTGGAATTAATGAATTGTCCCCATTACTAAATAAAAAAAACAGACAGCAAAAATGAGTGACAGACGAAACATCAATGCTTATTCAGACTCTCTTTGAAAGGCCAAACATTGAGGTACAGTATTTTTACTGGAGCCATAGGTAAATATTGGGCACATACTACCAACTAGAGCAACAGGGTTAGAAGTTAAGCATGACCTATCCTCACATGAGCATTTGGGATGTCCTCCTGATGTGAATACTGCAAACATAAATGTAAATTTGTATTACATTGTATAAACACAAAACTATAATAGGGGAGACTGACACATTATTAGCCTGTTAGAGAACATATGAATTCTCTAATTACTTTAAACAGAGAGTAATTAAAGACTGGAATGAGTTACCAGGAAGGGTGGTTGAGGCCAGGACACTAGACCTGTTTTAGAAACAGTTTAATGCTGTTATAGAAAGTTGGTAGGATAGGTATTCTAGAAGGGTGCGATCCAATGGGCCAAACGCCATTCAAACTTCTGTTGCAATTACATTAGCCCAGGACTAGCTTTATAGTCTAGTTTTTGTTAAATTCCCACTTACTTTCTCATAAGATACCGAGTCAAACATTTCCTGGATCTGAGTTGGACTTTCTGCTGCTGTGGATATAGCACGTGATGAATTCATGGAGTCGCTTCCCATTGCTCCAAAACATGTGTTCAGAAGATAGTCATCCTGGGCAGATCAAACGTGAAAGAATGCGTTAAATTGAATCAAAGATCCTGTAGTTATTGAGTTACTGGTATTGAGAAGAATTTACTCACAACTTGTAGCTCTGGATAGGTGGCACCAACAGAGACAAACTCCATATACCGGGCAAAGCCTTCGTTAAGCCAGAGGTCATTCCACCACTCCATTGTCACCAGGTTACCAAACCACTGGAGGAAACAAACATTCATTAATACTCTCAAAGGTTTGCTTTCAATTAGCAAGGATTGCGAAGGGCCCTGCGAGCAGCAATTTAGCACTTCCTTACCAGATGAATTAAAATTTAAGATTTACAATCAAAAGGATAAATTCCATCCCAGAGATTCCTTCCTCTCACCCTCATCTCATTGAAGGTCTAGCTCAAGATATACCTCTTTGATCACACTTTTGGTCATCTTTCCCCTCCTCACCCTCCTTGGGTCCCACCCCCAGCTTGACTGCCCAGCCAGGAGTGTTCAGTGCTCTCAGACATCCTCCCAATATGAAAGGCACTGAATAAACGGCACTTGTAAGTAAAACAAACATGGATCCCATTTGAAATGTGACAAGCCTGTGGGACACACCATTGCCCAGAAGCTGGGTGGGGAGGGAATGTTCGGTCACAAACCTATCATTAACAACAACAACAAGATTACATTTGTATAGAGTCTTTCACGTCGGGAGGACATCCCAAGGCGTTGGACAGAGTACAGCATTTCAGACCCGAGCTGGGGTCGGGGGGGGGGAGAAGGGAGGGGAGGGGAATGGCCGATGGCATGGTCAAAGAGGAGGGTCTTGAGGCGGGACTTGAAGGAGGCTAAGGAGGGGACGAGGCGGAGTGACTGGGGGATGGAATTCCAGAGGCTGGGGGCAGAGTGGCTGAAGGTTCTTCCGCCAATGGTGGGGCGGGTGGGTTGAGGGACGTGGAGCAGGCCAGAGCCGGCTGAGCAGAGGGAACGGGCAGGTTGATAGGGGTTAGGCGGTCACAGATGTAGGGTGGGGCGAGGCCATGGAGGGCTTTGTATGTGAGGACCAGGATCTTGAACTGGATCCTCTGAAGGATAGGGAGCCAATTGAGTCGTACGAGAGTGGGGGAGATGGGGTCACGGAGTTTGGTTTGGGAGAGGACACGGGCTGCAGAGTTCTGGATTATCTGCAGCCTGTGGAGGGAGGAGTTGGGAAGGCTGACAAGCAGGGCATTTGCATAGTCGAGCCTGGAGGTGATGAAGGCATGAGCAAGAGTTTCAGTGGCCTGAGGGGTGAGGTAGTGGCGGAGTCGGGCGATATTACGGAGGTGAGGGAAGGCAGAGCTGGTCATGGCTTGAATGTGGGGGAGAAAAGACAGTTGAGGGTTGAACAAGACACCGAGGTTCCTGACTGGCTGGTGAGTTGTAGTGTGCAACCGTGGAGGTTGATGCTGCCAGAGCCTGAGGTGCTGAGGCGCTGGTGGGAGCCAATCAGGAGGGCCTCAGTCTTGTTCACATTCAACTGTAGGAAATTTGCCCTCAACCAGGACTTGATGTCCGACAGGACAGCAGTGGTCCTGGAGTTGGGTGTCATCCGCATACATGTGGAAGTTGATCCCATGTCTGTGGATGATGTCACCAAGGGGGAGCAAATAGATATTAAAGAGGAGAGGGCCAAGGACAGCCCTGGGGGATATCAGACGTGACAGTGCGGGGGCTGGAGGAGAAACCGTTAGAGGCAACAAAGTGGAGACGGTGAGAGAGATAGGATTCGATCTAGGCAAGGGCAGCTCTGTGAAGATTGAGTAAAGCAGAGAGGCGGTGTATGAGGATGGAGTGGTCAACGATGTCAAAGGTGGCAGAGAGGTCGAGGAGGACAAGGAGGCAGAGGGAGCCCTGATCACAGATGTTCAGAATGTCATCAGTGACTTTGACCAGGGCTGTTTCCGATCTGTGGGCAGCCAGAAGCCGGATTGGAGGGGTTCAAAGAAGGAATGGCGAGAAAGAAAGAAGCTGAGCTGGGACACGACGACTTGTGCCAGGACCTTGGAGAGGAATGGGAGGTTAGAGATGGGGCGGTAGCTGGAGAGGAGGGATGGGTCCAGGGAAGGTTTTTTCAAGATGGGGGTGATGACAGCTGTTTTTAGGGGGGTGGGAACTGAACCGGTGGACAAGGAGAGGGGCCAGAAGGTGGAGCTGGGAGATGAGGAGAGAGGTGGGGATGGGTTCGAGGGAGCAGGTGGTGGGTTTGAGTTTGCGGACAGCCGTGGTGAGAGAGGAGGGAGTGATAGGGTCGAAGGAGTATGGGTGGGGGTGGGTCATAAGGGAGAGGTGATGTGGGGATGGCTGTGGACGGGGCTGAGGTGGCTGAACGTATTCCCTTGATTTTAGATTCGAGGAAGTCCAGCATCTCCTTAAAGTTGGAGTTTGAGGAGAGGATGGGTGAGGTATGGGAAGGTGGACGGAGGAGACGGTTAGTGGTGGAAAAGAGAAGCCAGGGATTGTCCTTTGTCTCCAAGATAACCAAGAAGTAGTAGGAGGATTTGACGGAGGCAAGAGCACAGCTGTAGGTCTTGGTGTGGTGAAGCCAAATGTGCCAATGGACCATGAGTTTGGATTTGGTCCAGGCACGTTCGGCAGCTCGCACTTGTGCCTTGAGGGAACAGAGATGGCTGGTGTACCAGGGGGATTAAAGACAGGTTTTTAAGGACAGACACATTCTGTACGATGTGTTAACCATCCTGGCATTAACTAAGCAACAGACTGTGTTTAGGAATACTGCAATTTTCACATCTTTGTGTTCAGTACAGCTCTTACATCTTTATTATGGTCACATTACAGACCATACGAGCACACACCTCACCATAATAGGTCGAAGTTGTATATCTATCGCTATATCCATTTATAATATATTATATATATTTTAGGGTTACAAAGGCCGTAAGTACAAGGATTCAGATTATTTATTGTTTTTTTATTCAGATACACACCTCAACAAGCTTAACATAGAGCATTCTTAGCTCCAACAGATTTTAAGCCTTCAATAGGGCTAGTGCACATTCCTTCATATTCATTACACCCATCTTCTCACCACATTTATCAATTCCTTCTCTCCAGAAGCACATTTACTTGCCTGTAGAACAAGTACAACTCTTTGTTTCAATGGGCTTACTTTGTAACTTGTTCTATAAATTTATATCCCTCGATGTACAAAATAGTTCCTGAATTCTCCATTTATTCCTGGTGAATTTAGAATACAGCATTCCAAAATGGTAAACTGTATGAAAGTTGTTGCATAAACGCAAGTTGTTGTTGTCATGATAGAAAGCCAACTTTCAATGTAAGAGATGGAAATACCTGATGAGCCAGTTCATGCCCAATCACCATAGTAATCCATAGTTTATTCGATGCTGAGGAGGTCACTGAATCGTAGAGTAGAGATGTCTCCCTATAAGTGATCAAACCCCAGTTCTCCATGGCTCCTGACTCAAAATCGGGAATCGCTACGAGATCTAAAAGCACAATATTTCTTCTGTTGTTATATCAACAGCAAGGTCGATTTTCACAATATCAACAATAATAACAACAGATTACATTTCTATAGCACCTTTCAGTCAGGAGGATGTCCGAAGGTACTGGACAGTCAGGGAACCCCACTCGAGCTGGTGGTTTGGATCAGGAGGGCGGGGAGGGGAGGGGTAGGAGGGTGACCAAAAGCACGTTCGAAGAGGAGGGTCTTGAGACGGCTCTTGAATGAGGCAAGGGATGGGGCAAGGCAGAGTGACTGTAGAATGGAGGGCTTGTGGGATAGAGTTCCAGATAATGGGGGCAGAAAGGCTGAGGCCCGCCCGCTAATGGTGGAGTGGGCAAGGCGGGGTACGTGAAGCAGGCCGGAGCCTGCTGAGCAGAGGGAGCGAACAGGTTGGTAGGGGTATATCATTGATATACAGTATATGTAATAAGATGAAATTAAATTGTTGCCTTTTTTAAAGAACATTATGACTGTTTGATATCCCTTTCCCAGTAGCTGTTGATATTGCCATACCTTGCTTTGGGAGTGGGAAGTAGATATTGAAATAATGTTCATAAAACTCCAGTAGTTTCACTGCTGCTTCCAAAGCATAGTGAGTTTGGCTCCACTTGTCTGGAACAGCGTATATGGACACCTATTGAATGGGGTATAGATGTGTCAAAGTCCTTCAAGTCAATGAGCAGGAAAATGTACATTATATTCCAGAATAGGCAATTGCTTAGAAATAAATATAATAATCTTTGCATTTTGATATAGCGCTTTTCATGTCTTCTAGATGTCTCAAAGCGCTTCACGGAATATACTGTAAAGTGAATTGACTGTATATATTTGTGAGTGAAACGTGGTAGCCAATTGCACACAGCAGGTTTTGGTGCTCTGCGCAATTTATTATGTTCAATGGATACTTGTTCATGACGGTAAACTAGTACCAGGGAATCTTAAAAGCAAATGCAACAGAGTCTGCACAGTACTATCACTTAACTTTGGAAGTTCTAAATTTAAATTAAACTTTGAAAAATGCCATACACGTAGTTCTGTGTTTTTTACTACAAAACTACAACATAGTTTTGGTCAAAGGACATTTTCCTCCGAGCTCCAGATGCCATTTCTCCAGGCCCAGATTTAATCAGATCCAAAATGTTTAAGGCAGACTTCCCCATACACACAAAAAAACAAATAACTCTTAAAACAATCAGCTTCAAAATTAAAGACTGGGTTTAAGAATCTTCCCACATTCTGGACACTCTGAATTAATCCAGTAATAGATAACATATTATATTACAATAGATGTCATGGGATTTTTAACTACATAGATTGTTATAGACTGTAAGCACGGAAACAGGCACTTTGTCGAATCAATATTATATATAATCTATAATATTTTTCACCCACTAAATATACAGTCAATTGACTTCACAGTATATTCTGCGATGCGCTTTGACGTGATAGGGTGCTGCTACAAATGCAAGATTATTATTATTATATATATGCACACACAAACTCATGATAACCTTCCTTTACATCTATGCCTCTGGTCACCTCCACCCAGCTCGGAGTCGTGCTCCGCCACTGTCAAGCACTCTGGGACTCTACGCTGCATGAGAGGTGCTATATAAAGTTATTGTTGTAGTAATCTATACCCAGGTAGAATTGTAGCTCACGTAGGTATTGAATATGAGGTACCTGGTGTTCAGGATACTGCCCAACCCCTCACAAGGAGGAAACATTATTTTGCGTCATATTTTCAATTCTTTAAACCTGTGGAAAGATGCTTTAAATCATATATCACTGAAATATATGTCCTTCGGTTGAGATATTAACACCAAGTCTGCCTGCTCTAGTGAATCCAATAGATATACACACGAAGGAGAAGGGACTAGAAGGGATGAGTTGGAGTACGGGTGGGTGAAGACTCGGGTGGAGTATAAACATCAGTTGGACTGATTGTGCCAAGTGACCAGGTTCTGTACTGTACAATCAGTGACAATTTATGCAGTTTAAGATCGCATGACATTCGTTCAGAGAGCAGAAAGTTACTGTATTCTGGTCCCCTGGCTAATATTATTTGTTGATACTTGTTCTTTATGACATGTTTCTGGTCCCTATTAGCTGTCACACTTGACTATATCAACAGAATACATTGTATAGTAACTCAATGGGAAGCCTTTTGAGAGATATTGACACAAAAAGGGGCTTCATAAAAATTATTCCGCTTAACATTTTGAAGATTTTATTTACTTGATGTGGCAGCAATGTTGTGTTCCATACACCCAGCCATACAGAGCAGGAACCAGGACAAGACACAGAGAGACAACTTTGGCGCAAAGGTCACCTTAATTCCTGTTGAAGTTACAGCACTAACAGATTTGAAGTCGCAGACAATAAATGCCACCAGGTATGTGCTCATCCTCACACTCACAGCAAAATGGTCTTCAAAAATCCCCTCCCCTATTGGGAAAGATTTAACCTGGAAGATATAAAAACAAAAAACTGCACTTAATATTTTTTCAAATGAAACATTTATTTTCAATTTTTTTTAAAGTGAAGGAATGGTGTACATATATGTATATATACACAAACAGTGAAAACCGCTTTTGCCGGACGCCGGGTAACCCTGGACATCGGGTAAATTGAACAAAACGCCCGGCCCCAATTCATTTATATTGTTTCCTGCCCTAAATATGCCGTTTGATTCGGACAGGAATCTGGGCAAAATGTTTCGCTGGTCGCCACTGAATGTACTCACTCAGGCCGTCTGTGTGTCCAGCGGCTGCATTCAGCCACGAGGGACTCCTGGATGTAGATGGGAGGAGTCAGATTGCGATTGACAGCGGACTCCGGCCATTCACAAGTGACTGGAGTGCGTCTGTCAATCAGTGAGGGGGGCGGAGCAATAGGAAAGAACAAGGGAGGGAATGGGAGGGGTCAAATCACGATTGATAGACAGCTGAGCCGCTTGTGAATGGGTGGAGCAGCTACAGGATGTCGATCACTACGGAGCCGCTGCTATTTGGTCCCCTTCCCGTCCAATTAGAATGGCAATGGGAGGGAGGAAGCATCAGGGCTCCTCTGCTGGAGGGTAAGTTCTGTATTTTGCAGCCAAACGAAGGTAAATATATTTTACTGATCTCTGTGAGACTATTTTAACTTTTAACCGACCGGTTCGTTAACATTGCTTCAAGTGAAACATTATCACATATCATTATACAGCGCCAGTCCTCTGATGGGCGGGAATGATAATTCAGCTAACCTCGGACGCCTCTTAAGGCGGACAAAACGACCACCCCCAATGTGTCCAAATTAACCGGTTTCCACTGTATACTTAAATGTAAATTGTATATTGAAGTAAAGCACAATATCAAAATCTCACTGGTTTAAAAAATCTTTTTGTGAGTTTAATACAAAACTAAATCACATCTGTGTTAGATGGTGGTAAATTTAAAGTGAGGTGGGAATGAGGGTTAGGGCTAATAACAAGGCTTTAGTAACTGTGAGCTCAGAGACAGCCAGGGTTATTTAAAGCTTCTTTCATTAATTCATAAAAGCCATCATAAAGACAAGTGTTTTGGAAAGTCAGAGTTCTCTTTTTTTCACTCGTTTGACAATGACGTGAAGTGGAAAGTTTGTCTGCAGTTGCAGGTCAGGCTAAACAATCCTACAATCATAAACAGTGAGGGTGTGACTGTCAAACAGAATGAAGATCACTTACCATGGGCATGTTGGACAGTGCAATGTATTGGCTGCCTCTCCTGATCTTGACTGAGAAGTTGGCTTTGAAAGACGGCTCATCAAAGCAAGGAAAGGCCATGCGTGCTGATGTAGGTTCAAAATGGGTAGAAGCAAGCAGTCTAGAAAGGGAAGACATTCATCAAAAGAAATTAGAGCAAGTTAAATGAATGTGAAATAAGTGAAGGGCAAGTTGCACATCAAGACAACTATTTTTATTGCCCTGGGATCATGTGGGGGACGAGTATGTGTACATCCAACCCTACTCTATCTCTCCTCTATCGCCTTGAATATACTGGGGTAAGGCAGTTACAATGGGATTTAATTTATAATAAATAAATAATATTCCTTGCATTTGATGTAGAATCTTTCACTTTTGGGTGGACATCTCAAAACGGTTTGCAGGGTAAATTGTGGAGTCCAGTAGCTCAGTGGTTAGAGCGCTTGACTTGCAAGCGAGAGACTTGGGTTTGATTCCTGGCAGGGCGAAACATTGGGCAAGTTTCCTTACTCCACAACCTCTGTTTACCTAGCAGTAAGTAGGGTCCGGTTGTCAGTCGATTGGTAGATCGCTTTTCTGTCGGCAATAATTCCTTAAAAATATTGGTCGCTCAATCCACGACTGTTTGTGGGACACTGCTGTGTGCAATTGGCTGCCACGTTTCTCTCCCACAAAATTCACTCTAAGTATATTCTGTGAAGCGCTTTGAGACATCTTGAAGAAGTGATTAAGCGCTATATCGAATGCAAGGATTATTATATACCGTAAAGTGTAGTGATCGTGTATTTTATGGATTGGTGATATACCTCTAGTTATCTTCAGGACTACCCATTTGTGGCTCAGAGTGGGGCTTTTGGTACTGTGTTCTCCCTGCAATGGATTTGTTGATTTGGGCTAAGCCTAAAACCACTCCATTGAAATAGTTACAACTAAACAATCAGCATACACAATAGCAAGTCCATGTGAAAGCGCTTTGAGAGGTTTGATGATGGAGACATCATTATAACATCAATGATGCCTGTCATTTTGTACGACATTGAGGGAAGTGTTTACTCGAGTACCAGAGCAGCAATTATGAGTTAACCAACTACAAAACAAATGCTACCTTACCTTGTTTTGCCATCTTGTGTTTTATAGCTGCTTTTGTAGAAACCATAGAAACCGTCAGACAGATTGGCTGCATAGTTTATGTTAATAACGTACTTCTCTCCAGCACCCAGAGGCTCAATAGACTGAAGCGCTATTTGCTCGTAAGGTGGAAACTCCAAAACATTCATGGCTTTTTCATGTTGGGCAATTCCATCTTGTGTTAATGCAATGGTGGCGCTGGTGATTTCCAGGTACTTGCTGTGGAGGACAATGGAGTTGGTGTCTTGTTTGACAGAGACCTCAATCTTGGCTACTCCAGTGAAACTCAGAGTGGTTAGATTTGGGTGTATCAACAGGTCATAGTGAAGTGGGATGATTCTATTGGGCAACCTCATCTTGTTCCAGGGAAATTTCTGTCCATTAGAAGCTATAGGAGCATCTCCACTCTCATGGTCATTGGTGCTTAATGCAGAGCTCAGCAAGAACTGCAATAGTATTCCAGCAATCAATAACACCATCTCCCTTTTCGATAACATTCTCCTCGCAGAGTCCCCTGAAAGAACAACAGGTCAGTAATATTGCATGGTCAGAGACAGTATCATTGAAATGGTAATAGCACATTCTGAAACCTATCTACACCTTATTGACATCCAACAATGTATGGATGACAATCAGGAGTAATCTGCAAATATAATACATTCTCACATTACTGAACTTCAAACAACAGAGTTAATTGACATACATAATAATCGCATGGTCCTCACAGGTTATTTTAATGCTGTTAGTTTTGTTATCATGACTGTCTAAACACAAAATGTTCAGACTCGCAATACATTACTTACATTTCATGCATATTATATTTGAAAACACAATTTTAAAATTGGAAGCTAAGCCACTCCGAAGTCAATCCAGATTTTTTTCTTCAAAGGATTGCAATGCACTGCCCCCAGCAGACAACAATTATAGAATCAACTGAGAAGTTTGAGGGAAATAGAAAGATAGATGGAAAATAAGGTATGTGTGTGTTCAGCCAAGTTCAGTGGTAGTCAGAAGGTTGTGGGCTCAAGCCCTGCATCAGGACTTGAACTCATATAGTCTACGATGACACTCCAATGTTGGGGGGTGTTACATTGCCGCAGACGCTATCCTTCGGACGAGGTGTTAAGCCAAGGCCAAGTCTGCCTATTTAGATGGATGTGGAAGATCCCATGGCACTGTCCGAGAAGAGTTTCTCCCAATGTGCTGTCCAACAATACCCCAAATAAAATGAGTCACTCGTTTCATGGCTTAGTTGTTTGTAGGATATTACTGTGCAAAATAGGGCTTCCACTTTCGCCTACAAACACACAGTCACACCATTTTGTGGTAAATCCCGTGAAGTCTTCTTTGGGAAAGCCTTCATTTGGTGCTATACCAAATGCAAGGATTATGATGTATTAAAAATAATAGTAAGGAATATAGCAAAAATAAAGGAAACAAGAACAAGACAGCTCTGAGTTTGAATACTGGTGGATAAACCTTTCCATTTCAGGACAATAAAAATGAATACCACACCATGTCCTGGATTCATTTCCTGGGAGGGGGGAGAGATCAGTCAGGCTGTTTCTGATCCTGGTCCCAGCCCTTGTGGTGGTTGACCTCCTGTGTGGATCACCATAAAACCTGCGAATATAAACTAAACCCTGACCCGCCAGGTGGTCCCTATTGAACCACAGACCCACAGGTAAGCAGCACTTTGCCATATTGATTTCATAACCTTTTATTGAAGAGGAAACAAAGCGCAGCCCAATTGCACACAGTGGATTGCAAGAGTCTGAGCTCGGCCTCTCCTGACACAGGCACATGATTCTCTGAACTCTCAGATAGACTGAGACCATCCCTTCCCGTGTCGTAATATTTAATATTTGACCCGAGTCACAGTCACTGTCTCACTCTGTCAATGGATCGGATTGAAATCCGGGTCAGGACGGCAGAGCCCTTACAGACCCCGTGTGCAGCTCAGTGGCTGTGAACAGCTCCACATTGGGCTCAGGATCACCTGCTCCTGGGCTGCCCACACCGGCAGTCACTGCACATCGTCGTCTTCACTAATTCTCACCGCCGTCCCCACGTTTGCAGTTCATCTTCACTCATTTTCTAAAAGCAGAATAAACACCAGAGATACTCACCAGGTCCGGTCTCCTCCTCTGCCCTTCCCCTCCTCTCAGCTCAGCTCTCGCACAGTCACTCTCAATACTTTCACTTTCATTCTGGTCTGTGATCAGCGGATACTGCAATCAAACCCACATTACACACTCCCCCACCACCCACACCCTCCCCACCCCCCACACCCCCCACCCCCTCCCCCACCCTCCCCATCCCCTCCCCCACACCCCCACACTCCCCATCCCCCACCCTCCCCACCCCCCCACCCACCCCTCCCCCTCCCCCACCCCACCCCCACCCTCCCCATCCCCCATCCCGCACCCACCCCACCCCCCACCCACACCCTCCCCACGCACCCCACCCACACCCTCCCCATCCCCCACCATCCCCCACCCCCACCCACACCCTCCCCACCACCCACACCCTCCCCCTCCCCCACCCACACCCTCCCCCCCACACTGACACACTCCCTCCCCACACCATGCCCACCCCCACACTGACACACTCGCCCTCACACTGACACACTCCCCCCTCACACTGACACACTCGTCCTCACACTGACACACTCCCCCCCCCCACTGACACTGACACACTCCCCCCCCCCTCCCCATCCCCACACTGACAGACTCCCTCCCCCCACCACACACGCACTGACACACACACTCCCCTCCATTCAGACACAAATACGCTCCCCTCCACACACACTCCACACTCACACGCACACTCCCCTCCACACACACTGACACACACACAGACAGTCACACAGAGCCCCTACACATAGACACACACACATCAACACACAGACCCTACAGCCACACCAGATACACACAGCAGGGGGGAGATGGTCAGGGTGAGGGGAGGGAAGGGAGGGAGCGAGGAGGAGGAAGAGAGTCGAGAGGGGAGCTGAAGGCTCGGTCAAAGAGAAAGGTCTTGAGACCGGCCTTGAAGGAGGAAAGGGAGGAGGCGGCGAAGGCACTGGGGGATAGAGTTCCAGAGCCTCGGGGCTGAGAGGCTGAAGGCCCGACCACCGATGGTAGGGCGGTTGGGGCGGGGGACGTGGAGCAGACCGGAGCCAGAGGAACGGAGGGTACGGGCAGGTAAGTAGGGGGATAGTAGGTTGGAGAGGTAGGAGGGAGCAAGGCCGTGAATGGCCTTGTAGGTGAGGATGAGGATCTTGAATTCGATCCTCTGGGGGATGGGGAGCCAGTGGAGGCGAGCGAGGGTGGGAGTGATGTGGTCCCGAAGCCTGGTGCGGGACAGTACACGAGCTGCAGAGTTCTGAATGACCTGCAGTGTGGAGGGAGGTGGCGGGAAGGCCGGCGAGGAGAGAGTTCCCATAGTCCAGCCTTGAGGTGATAAAGGCGTGGACCAGAGTTTCAGCAGCGTGAGGGGTGAGGTAGTGCCGTAGTCTGGCGATGTTCCGGAGGTGATGGAAGGCGGTGCCAGTTGTGGTGCGGATATGAGGGAGAAAGGACAGCTCAGGGTCGAACAGAACCCCGAGGTTCCTGACTGGCTTTGAGAGGTGGAGAGTGCAGCCTTGGATGCTGATGGTGTCAGCGTCTGAGGTGCGGAGGCGCTGACGTGAGCCAATCAGGAGGGCCTCAGTTTTTCGCACGTTGAGCTGAAGAAAGTTGTCTCTCGTCCAGGACTCGATGTCGGACAGACAGGCTGTCAGGACATCGGTGGTCATGGAGTTGAGGGTAGAGGAGGAAAGGTAGAGTTGGGTGTCATCCGCATACATGTGGAAGTTAACCCCATGTCTGCGGATGATGTCACCAGGGGGAGCATATAGAGGGTGAAGAGGAGGGGACCGAGGACAGAGCCCTGAGGGACACCGCACAAGACAGTGCGGGGGCTGGAGGAAAAGCCGTTTGTGGAAACAAAATGAAGACGGTGGGAGAGGTACGACCTAAACCACTCAAGGACAGTGCCTTGAAGGTTGAGGTGGGAGGACAAGCGGTGGAGGAGGATAGCGTGGTCAACCGTATCGAATGCTGTATCGAATACAGCCCCTACACGCATAGACACACATAGCCACACACATTCCTCCACACACACTGACACACACTCCCCTACACACACACAGACACGCCCTTCCACACATACAGACACACACACATACAGACAGTTACACATACACAATCATACAGAGCCCCTACACATAGACACATACACATCAACACACAGACCCTACAGCCACACCATAGATACACACACACACTCCTCCACACACACTGACACACACTTCCCTACGCACACACACACGCACACACACACGCGCATACAGTCAGTCAAACAGACACACACACACAGAGCCCCAACACAGACACACAGAACCTACACACATACACATAGATACTCCCACACACACACATATAGACACACACAGCCCCTACACACAGAAACACACATAGACAGCCCCTAAACACACATAGACACACACACACATACAGCCCTACACACATTCACACACACAGAGCCCCTACACACACACACAGACACACAGAGACAGCCCCTATACACAGACACACATATAGACAGCCCAAAAACACACAAGATTTTCTAATCATTTTCCATTTTTTAATAAAAAAAATCAGAAGGTAAAAAAAATCAGAAGTGGGAAAGAAATATTTCTGATTTGCAGGTAGAAAATGTGACTGTAAGCAGCAGTTAGATGTGAGATTGAAAGTGTTATGATCTTTGGCTTTGCACTTTGAAACCTGCAGCAACTCTCAATTTTCATTGGGAAGCCATCATTTCCTGGTTTGGGCTCCAAGTCCAATGAGTCCAGAGAGAAAAACATCAGTGCATTACCATTGGTGTTTGATTTTGAAAACTTTTATCTCTAATCATACACCTTCCAGCGTTAAAGATTCTGCCATCGAGTCTACACTGATGTTAGCTCCTCCACTGCAACCATCTGCTCTCAACTTTTTTTGGTCAGCCGTTTGTCTGACACATGCTCAAACCCATCAACATGATCAGCCGGGTTTGACACATGCGGAAACCCAACGCCATGTTTAAGAATATCCAAACCAAATTGAGAGTTCCATGCAGCCCACCTACACCTGGCACATGATGGCATTGCTACCATTTTCCTGCATGTAGCTCAGGCACATATCCTTTCCCATTGAGCGATGGTTCTACCAATTGGAGGTGCGATGTTTACACAACAGCTGTTGCTTCTCTCAACCCAATCGAGGTGGATTTCAGGCACTGGATGTATAAACGTGTGTTCACAAACTCAGATTCCAGGTAACAACAACAACAACAACAACAAGATTCCATTTATAAAGCGCCTTTCACGTCAGGAGGACGTCCCAGCACCTATTGGCCCAAGCCTCAGAGATTCCTCATCAGCTATCTGGTGGGCATCTGTATCACATTATTTATTAAAACTGGGTTGGTCCAACCTTTTGGTCTCCAAGGGCCTGATTTCCTATTAGAGAAAGGTTCCCAGGCCCATAAACTATATTTTTGTGTTTCCCTTCCAGAAATATAACAATATTTACACAACGCCTTTTTCACGCTGGAAAGACGTCTCAAAGCTCTCGACATTGTCGGCTGGGCAGCCGAGGGGGTGGGAGCTGATGGAGTTGGGGTGGGGAAGGGAAAGAAAGCCTCATCAAAGAGTTAGGTCTTGATGTGCCTTGAAAGGGGAGAGAGCGAGTCAGAGGGACTCCAGGAATGGAGCTCCCATGGGCGAGGGCAAAATGGTGATGGTAGGGCAGACTTGGAGGGGGATGAGGGGGACATGAAGCCAGCTGGTGTTTTCTGGGAAAGGGAATGGCTGGGTCAGGAGGTTGCAGAGGTAGGGTGGTGGTGGGGGGGGGGAAGAATGAAGGACACAGACACACACTCTCTTACAATTACTTTCCTTCACTTCTCCTCTCCCACACTCTCGCTCCCCCCTCCACTCTCTCTCTCCCCTCTCACACTCTCTCTCTCCCCTCTCACACTCTCTCTCCCTCTCTTTCAATCAGTTTTGCCAACTCCATTATATTTACCAGTGTTGCAGCCTATACTGCGGGACTCCTGAAATGAAGGGAAATAAGATGTTGCTGAGCAGTGGTATTACTGTGGGATAGTAATATCCAATAGCCACGATCTGAGGACATCCAGATTCCGCTCCAGCCACCTAATGTTTTTCTGAATGGTTTCCAGGGCAAGCTGGGTACACCTCAGCTGGGAGCTCTGCTCCTTGATAGATTCAAAGAACATTTTCACCTGAAACAGATGTATGCAGGTAAGGGTTTGGTTTACAGGACATACTTTACAAATATAGCCTGAATATAATTGAACAATGTTCAATTATATACAACATTGCGGTCATATGTTCAGGTCATATGTTCAGGATGTCTACCTCTGTACTGCCAGTTACTCAGGCTAGAAAAGAGGAAATACAGGTTAAATGGGTGGCTTTATGTTTGCCCGTATCTCTATGAGGTTCTCTCTGAGTTGTTTTCTCTCAAAATTGATTATTACCCAGTGTCAGCATTTATCGTGTTTTTGGTCAGCCGGGTGCCTGAACATGTGAAAAACCATCATCATGTTTAATAGTATCTAAACCTGAGAGGGAGCCCATATATGTATACCAACTACATCTGTAAATGTCCATGTCTGGAATGGAATGTTAAGTCTCTCCCAGAGGGACCCACCCACCTTGCATACCTGATTCCAGATTGTACTAGACACAAGTCACAAGTTTGCGAAAGCCATGGCTTGGGAACCTATAGTGTACATCGGGGAACTACTGGAGTTTAACAAGCTTAAATTGCATAGTTTGCCACCAAGAGCATTGTCTGGCAAGCTTCTCCAGCTTGGAAAACTCTACATATTGCAGGGTTAACAGGAGCCAAGTGGGAAAAATACCGGCCTCCCTCAGCAATCACTTCAAGTTCACGTTTAGCACAGGTTGTACGCAGAGTGCACCTTCCTTTACCTTTAAGCCTCACTTGAGAGTTTTGTACTGAATGTTCTAACATTGTCACCAACCATATTTTTGTGCTCTCTCTTTCATTGTGTTTATACAATAACAAAAGCCACTAACCTCCTCCAATTCTTCCTGTGATGAAAAGTGAGATGTCGTTCCAATGATAAGCCATCTGATAGTGACGGAGCCAAGCTCAAATCTATGATGAATATGGACGTTGTTAAACACCCTTCACACTGGCACT